AATCTTGCAATTAATATTCAATCAGAATTGATTTTGTCCCTAGTTCAAGCAGTTAGTTTATTATAGTACATAATGTTGCATGCAAATAAATTTGAACATATACCATGTTTCCACGAAAATAAGACCCAATTGGAAAATAAGCCCTAGCATGATTTTTCAGGATGCTTGTAATATAAGCCCCACCCCAAAAATAAGCTCCAGTTAAGATCATCAGCCAGATGGACACATTTAGTACCGTATTTTCCCAAAAATAAGACCTAACTGGAAAATAAGCCCCAATGCATCTTTTAGAGCAAAAATTAATATAAGACTCCACCTTATTTTGGGGGAAACACAGTAGATAGATTATTATTAACTTTAAAATGGATTACAATATATTCTAGATGCCAGGTGCCTGCAGCTGGGTTATCAAAATTTAGAATGTGCATGTCTTGCAGATTGGAGAATTAGATGTATACTTGCAAAGGCCTTAAAATATGAAGATTTAAGCTGTCAAAGGAAGCTGTAGCAAGGTGAAAGGCAGTTCTAATATAACCTAGGGATTCCATGAGTGATTTTACTGTCAATATTTCATGTCATTAAAACTGTTGAAATAGAAAGTAATGACCAACCCAGTGTTGAAATTTATCAGGAATTCTATAATGTCTATGGGTTAGGCATAAATATTTTTTTCTTGAATGATGTTATCTGGTCTCTTGCACCTTTCTTACAAAATTGAATATTGATGCACAGGGCAAGTGGCCTCTACACTATAACACTTGTGTAAAGAAAAAAGGAAATAATAATCTGGAACTTGGCCCATACAAGTAATTTCAGCATATAAACCATATTGGGTTTCAGTTTTGTTAGATTTTTTTTAATGCACTTAATTTTTATAATAATTTGAAACAACATTTAAAGTTACAATGCAATGTGCAGGTTATGAATTGGTGTTTTAAAACATTGTAATCTACAAATGATAAGACAGTAAACTGCAGTAATAAAAGGCAGGGGATGCATAAAAGAGAGTAGTTTCCATTAAATGGCTTCATAAACCAGAACCAGAATAAACGAATACATTTTGACCTGAAGCTGAGACAATATATTGCCAGCAGCAGCCAGGCATCCAAGGGAGGGATTTTTGAAGCACCACAACAGAAAAGCACTCTGTTCCTTCTTTCAGATTATGTATAAATGGTATTTGGAGCTAAGTTTCCTTTTATAGCTTTTAAAGGCTGTCGGGAAGGGAAGCGCTCTTGCAGACATTTTGGATCGCAGATTGTTTAGGATTTCCAGTACATCTTGACAATCTGAGCTCAGAAGTGGATCAACAGCCAATAAAACATTATTAGAATGAGTATTTTGTGATTTCACTTATCTGACTTGATTATAGTACTGAATGCTACAATAATCTCATCCAGTCTTCCTTTTTCTGCTTGGCCCCTTGTGGCCTGGAAGAGTTCCAGAGAAACTCTGAACATCTGTTGGGATAGAGTCAGGGGAGAGAAATAAATCCAAAATCTGCCAAGATTGGGAGGGGCAGGAGGTTGTCGCACAACCCAGTTCCTATCTTAGATAAACATTAAGCCAGTCTGCAGAAAGAATCGTTGCCCTTTGTAGATCTCTGGAAATTCTGAAAAAAAGAGCATTCCTCAGAATATTTTCCTTTATAAAGAGAATGTTTTATTGATAACAGATAACAACATTCTATTGTATGTTAATAATATACACTTAAATATTGATTATAGGAGGCATTATCATTGTTGCTGACTAGCAACAAATATCTATGGCAGTGGTTCTCAACTTATGGGTTGCGACCCCATTTGGGGTCGATCGACCATTTCACAGGGGTCGCCAAGCAAGGCTGTCCGCCATTTTTTCCCCTTTTTCAGCGGGTGCCTTACCTCCCTTGGGCTGGGCCAGCTGGTGGTCCAGCCAGTGGTCGGCCTGCTCTGTCTCTGCTGCTTGCCAGCTACGCCTCGGCCAGTGCAGGGGGCAGCACCACACATGCATGGCACTCCTGGGCAGGGAAAGTCCTCGACTTACGACCGGTTGGGTAGTCCTCGACTTACGACTGGTTTAGTCCTCAACTTACAAACAATTTAGTTCTTGACTTACGACCGGTTGGGGGTCGCGGCATTAAAAAGGTTGAGAACCACTGATCTATGGAGAGATCATAAACAGAAGAATCAGACTGGGGAATAAGTAGAAACTGTGCTTAAAGAAGAGGCTCACCATCACATCCAAGGCTTGTCTGTTCAAAGCAAGTTTTATGTTGTCCAAAAGAACTGGCTGTTATTGACCCCATCTCTGAATTTTTTACAGCAGTGCTATCCTGGATAAAGATGATAACATTGTGTCAGGAATGTGTACAGGTAATCCTCAACTTACAGCCACAGTGGAACCCCAAATTTCTGTTGTTAAGCAAGACTGTTGTTAAGTGAGATGTGCCCATTTTCTGACATTTTTGCCACAGTTGTTAAGTGAATGGCTGCCAATGTTAAATGAATCATGTGATTGTTAAGTGAATCTGACTTCCCCATTGACTTTGCTAGTCAAACAAGGAGGTTATAAGGTTATAAATGGTGATCACATGACCCCAGAATAGTGTAATCATCATAAATACCTGCCAGTTGTCAAGTACCTGAATTCTGATCACATGACCATGGGGATGCTGCAAAAGTCATTAAGTGAAAAAACCAGTCATAAATCACTTTTTTCAATGCTGTTGTAACTTTGAAATGTTACTAAATGAATGGTTGCAAATTGAGGACTCCTTGTATATCATATTGAAAGTCTAGAAATTAGTGCAGGTGCATGTATGAGAACAATAGAGATGATAGTAGTGAGTAGGCTACTCAAGGTCTAGAACTGTCTAGAACTATCTAAAGAACTGGCCGCCTTGTGTGATATTAAGGAAAATGAGATATTGAGTAAGAGAGGGAGGGAAATAATTTTGATAGATTTCCAGATTGATAGCAGAGATTTTTCTGAAACCTTCTTCATTTTGCTTCTCAGGAGGGAAAATCCAAATGGTTAAAATTGTACTCATTTACTCATTTTCTCTTTTCTTCCTAGTGCATTTCAAATAAACTAATAAATAATAAACTAATAAATCTGCAGCAACTAAGCCTGTTTCTGGCCAGGGCACCTCCAAATTCCCCTCTTTCTTTTGACTTTTGATATTTGGGAGAAAAATGTTTCCCCTTTTTTTCTTTTTTTAAAAATTTATTTTGAAATTTTGTTTTCAAATTTTGTGTGTTTTGATAGAAATGACACTTATGACACCGATCTCTCTGCACATCAGGCCATAAAAGTGAATTTACGTGCATCCCATATGCACCCCATCAGCAATTTCAGCAGGCAAGAGTCATTTGGGACAACTGGATATCCCCTGGGCAACAGCAATGTCACTGGTTAATGCTTTCAACCTAGAAGCACCTCAGTGACAGAAGTGCAATGCAATTTGGGGTTCTTGATACCATCATGTGATATAACCAGGGCTTTTTTTGTAAAAAAATAAAAGGTGCCGGAACTCACACACATCATACAACCCACCTTGCCTACCCTACAAGGTTCCATCCAAAAAAGGTGCCGGAACTCCGTTCTGGGCGTTCTATGACAAAAAAGGCCCTGGATATAACTATTGTTATATGCAAGTTATTCCACTGGAAAAAAATAAGTGAAACCAAAAAGGTTGAGTGTCTGACAAAGGGGCTATACAGTACAATAATCATTTTACCTAGCGATAGATGAATGTACTCTGTGAAATATTGAAAGATGCAAGGGCAGCTCACTAGAGAATTAAACTGTTTGAATCTTGGGGTCACATTCAACTCTATAATAAGAAGAGGATTTACCAATATAGCTGCAAGGTTTATGACCATGAAGATTAAAATTGTATATGAAACAACTCAGATTCAGTGCTTTCTCTAGTATAAAAACCACCAAGTTAAATATTTACTCGTAGCGCCCCCAAGAAAGATTAGATGTAAGAATGAGTGGATTTATATAGATGCGCAGGGAGAATTCTGACATTGAATTTTGAACCAGCTGAAAACACTTCATACAACAACAACAACAACAATAATAATAGAGTTGGAGAGGACCTTGAAGGTCTTCTAGTCCAACGCCCTGCTCAGGCAGAAAATTAGTCTTATCAAAAATTCTATCAATCATAACTTTGAGTTGCAATAAAGGCTCTAGGTTAGTGTTCTTTTTGACTTGGTTGCTGCAAATCACTGCCTCAGATAATCCAACAGCACAGAAATAGGCATAAAAGAGTAACACAAAACCTAGAAGAGTCATGTGGTGCAAGTATTACTAAATGTGCCATTCCAGATTACATATCATCTCAAGAGAACCTAAATCTCTTTTCATTTATGCCTCTATCAAAACAAAGAAGAGGTTGCTTCAGAAACCTCAAACATTTTATTTGATATGTTCACAATGTTATGACTGATATTTTAATTATATTGATTGATTGATAAAATCTATTACATGCTTTCTTTTATTTTTTTTTCAAAGCATAAGTGCCTTAAATTAAAAACAGTAAGAAGTGCATGAAGATAAACACATTTTTCAAAGGAAATATTATATTCTGTAACTGGTTTAAATACAGCTCCCGTTTGCCATTCAGAAGACAAAGATCTCTAAAAACAGCATAAAACAGATTCAGGACAGTGTTGTCCACAATACCATAAGAAAAGGCCTGCATAGGTTGGGGGAATACGTTGGGAACTAGAATTTCCCAGTGTTATGTCAATACTCAACTAATACCTCGTCATTTGTGTGTGAGTTGGGCATATAATTTTGTTTAATAAAGAGAAGAAAAGGAAAAGAAAAGAAATGTAGGACATTACATAGGAAGTTGTCCAGTAAGGGAGAAAAAGACAGAGGAATAAGAATGAGAGGGACCTCACCCACATTTTTACAAAGGGCAATCAACTGCTTTTAAGTGGCTTCATTCTAGTAAAAAATGAAGTTTTTTATTTCACCATGCTATGTTGGGGATTTTTCAGATTTCTGGGCTAGGCAGAAGATGGAACCTGAAAGCTGGACCAGCCTATAAGCCTATCTAGTTCATCATTCCATGGCACTTAATCATTAAAGGGAGGCATCTGGGAATCTCACCAACATGAACTGGAGTGACAACCTCTCTCACTACTGCTTGTGGTACATAAGGTATGCTCCCTATGATTCAGGAGGCAATCAGCAGCCTACAATATTAGTAGCCACTGATTAGCTATTTTCATTTGCTTCCTACATTTCATTTTCAGTTTTGCAGGCAGGTTGACATTTTCAATGAGCTACCCAGTATACTGTACCTCCAAAATCTATTTCCTGATCAGTCACTGCTGGCTTAGGTCCCATTGATGTATTGGTGTAGTCTGGATTTTTAACTCTTTTTTTTGGTGGTGGGTGGGGGACCAAGACATAGCACTTTACACCTGTTTGCCATGAGCTGTGTTTGTCATTTTGAAACCCATTCACCCAGCTTGGAGAGATCCTTCAGAGCTCTGCACTATCAATTTTTATTTTACCACCCTGAAGAATTCGATATCATACTATCTTCCTCTTAGTCCTAACCACATTATATATATATATATATATATATATATATATATATATATATATATATATATATATATATATAATGACCAACTGTCCTCCTTTAGGGAGGACAGTCCTCCTTTTGTAAGTTCTGTCCTCCCTCAAAAAGCGTCCTCCGTCATGTCCTCCTTTTCGATATTTGAAGACTAATCTGCAGGGCTTTTTTTCCCCTCATAGAATGCTCAGAATGGCGTTCCGGCACTTTTTTTTGATGGTTTTTTTTCAACTTTTGCATGAGCTGTGCTACTCCCCCTATTGGTTTTCGAAAGCCAATAGGAATTGTTCTGGCACCTTTTTGATGTTTTTTTTTTTCAACTTTTGCATGAGCTGTGCTACTCCCCCTATTGGCTTTCGAAAGCCAATAGGAATTGCTGCTAAGCATGGCAAAACACCTGGCTGGCAAACTTTGCACATGCAAGTTGTCTGTATTATTGTTGCAATGAATAAAATGTTTCTTTTATTTACAATATTTTTTTCTTCAATTTATTTGTGTCCTCCTTTTCACTGTAAAAAAGTTGGTCACTATATATATATATATATATATATATATATATATATATATATATATATATATATATATTTTTTTTCTGAGGTTTTCGCGGGTATTTGTATATAGGTCTTTGGTTGTTCGGGTTTTCTCCCGCGTAAAATTGGAAGTGTCTTGGCAACGTTTCGACGAAGTCACATTCGTCATCTTCAGGCTGGTGTTTTTAGCTTCTTGCTTTGAGCAGCAATGTGTGGTTTTAGCTGTTTCTTCCTTTTAAATTGACTTTAAAAATACCAGAACCATTGCCAAAAGTGAACATTTTAATAACAGAATAATCAGAGAAGCCATCGAGATAGAAAAACGCCCACACAGCATGAACAAGCGAGATGATACCTCCCGCCTACCAGCCATTTGGAAACCTGCCCTTATTGACAAACGACTCCCTAACCCCAAAATCTTAAACCCCTCTGCAACTCAGACTAACCTGAGCACAACCAAACAGAACACTCCCCCAGCCAATCAGAGCACAGCCAAGCCCCTAACCATTCAGAACACACCTCCACCCAATCAGAACACAGCCAAGCTCCCATCCAATCAGTTCATACCCTCACTGGCAGTTAAAAGGAAGAAACAGCTAAAACCACACATTGCTGCTCAAAGCAAGAAGCTAAAAACACCAGCCTGAAGATGACGAATGTGACTTCGTCGAAACGTTGCCAAGACACTTCCAATTTTACGCGGGAGAAAACCCGAACAACCAAAGACCTATATATATATATATATATATATATTTGTTTTCTGAGGTTTTCGCGGGTATTTGTATATAGGTCTTTGGTTGTTCGGGTTTTCTCCCGCGTAAAATTGGAAGTGTCTTGGCAACGTTTCGACGAAGTCACATTCGTCATCTTCAGGCTGGTGTTTTAGCTTCTTGCTTTGAGCAGCTCAAAGCAAGAAGCTAAAAACACCAGCCTGAAGATGACGAATGTGACTTCGTCGAAACGTCGCCAAGACACTTCCAATTTTACGCGGGAGAAAACCCGAACAACCAAAGACCTACATATATATATATATATATATATATATATATATATATATATATATATATATATATATAAGGTGACCACCTTTTTTACACATACATACATACATACATACATACATACATACATACAGTATAAGTTGAAAATATAAGTCCCTGTACTGATCCCTTGGGGAACCACCTTTTCACATCTTGCCAGTGTGAAGCTTGTCCATTTATTTAGAAGACTTGTGGGAATCCCTTGGTGGTGGGAGAAAGTGATTAAATTTAGCACTGCAACAATGGAGGATGGTGAGGTAATGCAGAGAAGAGCAGTGAAGAAGATCTGCAGGTAATCGCCTGGTTACATTTGCAGGGGTAAAGGAAGTAAGGCAGGGCCTCAGAAGGCTGCGAAGACCTGTGTGTGTGTGTGTGTGTGTTTGTGTTCATAGATTGTTACTGGCAGCATTAATCGCTCTCGTCACTCTTAGCTAACTTGGTTCTAGACAGGAATGAGAAGATGGAAGAAAGAAGGTAACCTTATTTTTTTCAGACCACTAAAAACAAACTTTTCTCTCCTCCTTCCCTTCCCTCCATTTATGCCTGAAGAGGCCCTTTGTAACAAATTGGCAGCATACCTCTGTATTTATTCTTACTCTCTCTTTCCTGCTTTTTTTTTTTAATCACTTGCCAATTGATGAAAATACATCGCCTCTTATTCCTTAGAGCAAACTTTGCTTAGCAATAGCAATGGCACTTAGAGTTAGATACCACTTCACAGTGCTTTACAGCCCTCTCTAAGCGGTTTACAGAATCAGCATATTGCTCCCAACAATCTGGCTCCTCATTTTACCGACCTCAGAAGCATGGAAGACTGAGTCAACCTTGAGCCGATCAGAATTAAACTCCTGGCAGTGAGCAGTGAGTTAGCCTGCAGTACTGCATTCTAACCACTGCGCCACCACGGCTCAGCTTAAGGAGTCTTTGACGGGTAATTATGGAAATTATGGAAATGTTTAAGGTTTCTACAAATATTCTTTATTTTTATGTTCTGCCCTTTCTTCTTCACTTAGAAATATTTCATTTCCCAATTCTAGGCGGGAACCTTAAAGTGGTGACATGCCAGCAAAGCCACCTACATGCTATGTATCCATAGTGTGTACAGTGACTGCTAAAAGATAAACTCAGAAACTTTGCTCTGAAGTGAGAAGAACCAAATATCCAGCAACTCATGCTTTTTAATAGATCTTCATTTGCATTGTGATATCATTTCAGTATTTTAGTAGCACTGATCCTGGTTATAGTGACTTGAACTTATTTCCCAAGTTTAATGACCAAAGTAATCTAAGTGTGTCCATGCTGTTTAAGACCAAAGGACTAATTACATGAGGTTGTTTTGTGATGACAGCTGAGGCCTCTCAAGAGCCAAAGAGTATCACTTACTAATTATGAAGCAACATGGGCAGGAACATTACACCTCTGAAAGAGAACTCTTGCCATAGCAATTTAGTATGTTACGTTACTGTATGTTTTATAAATGTCCTAATTTTCTTGAGAGGCTATTTAAACTTGTTGGATTTCCCTATTGCCCATTCACTGGACTTTAATTTCTTTTATATGAGACTGCAAATGGCAGAGCTGGAATTGCTATTTGCAGACAATTAACAAGAACTGGGAAGTAATTTGCAGTAAATAATTTGATACCTCTAATCACTTTGCTTGCTGTTAATCCACAAATATGTTATAATTATCCAAAATTTATTTGTTATTCACGGGAATCATTTAGCAGCTAATGGGGAATAGCAGAAGCAGAAACACTTGTATTAGTGGCCTCCACTCTTCCAGATAAAGTTCTGGGGGCTTTTTAAAACATATGCCAGACATCCAATAATGTCAGAGTAATATTTTCCTAAGCTCTCAAAGCATTGCTTTATAGGTACTGAAAAATATTTTAAAGGCTTTCTACAGCTGCATGAATATGATGGGACTGTAAAATTGGCCATGGAAGCCCTACTTATGAGCCTGTAGTTCAGCCTTGCTTGGCAAGTACAAGTAAATTTTTTAAATATTTTTTTCCGGTAATGAACCTGATCATTACTTAATATTTTTTTGCACAGGGGAACATCTAGAGTTCTTCTCTTTTTTTTAAAAAAAAATAAGTGCCAAAGCTTAAATGCTTCAGTACTCCTCATACTGAATCTTCATATGAGGCTATATAGATTATAAATTGCAGTTGTCACTATCGCTGATACTAAGACTTACTGGGGTTGTAGTGGTTAAAATGTTGGGTTTAAGCCTGCTTTTAGCCAATAAGGTTCACTGAGTGACTTTGGGCTAGTCCTAAGCTCAGCCCACCCTACCTCACGCTGATATTATGGGAAGAAGTGGGAAGAAGGATGTGTATCTAAGTCATAAATGAGTTGTATGTCTCTTACAGTGAAATGGTAAATTGGTGCTGTTTTTCATTCATCTTTATTTCAAATTTTTAATTTCCCCCATGCTAAGGTTTACAATGAATTTACATCCCAGTCTGTACAATTTTGAAACATCAAAAAAAGATCAAAGCCTAAAAGTATTCTTAATGATACTAATACTCTCAATTATGCTATGATTCCCTAACTTAATGACCTTGCATTCCTTATGTCCTTTTTCTACATCACCTTTCTAATAATTTTTACAGGTGAAAAAAACATCAAGCCACAAGTTATGCAGTTTCTGTGAGATGTTTATTTTTAAGGATCATATTTTTAATTTTGGCATTTCAGACTGCGTTCAGATGTCTTGACTTCATAACTTATTAGCAATATAATTGAACATTCTTGCATGAATATGATTTGTCTTTGTTGTTGTACCTATGGTATATGCTGGATGTTTTTAGGTGATAACTTCCAGAATTTTTTACAGGACCCAGTTTTGACCCAGTTCTGCTGATAGCTGCCCCCCCCCAGTTGCATGATCACATTTTCAGCACTTGGCAACTGGCTCATATTTATGCTGGTTGCAGCATTCTGTGGTCATGTGACACAACTTATGACTTTTTTTTGCTGAAAACCAGCTTTTTCAGCA